TAAAAAAACATTCAGCCACTGGTGGGCGAAAATAATAATGTTATACAAATAAAAATTATTTTAATTTTGTTGCGGCACTTAAATAATTCCATTCTTTGAAAACGTATAATTATTTGAATAAAATGTATTTTAATTTTATTTCCTAAAAAATGTAAATTGAAAACGATCCCTTTATGTGATTTGGCAACCACGTGTCACGTGTGTTGTATCCGATAAAGAGAAACTGTGGGAATTCTGAATGTCGTGCCTTATTTACGGTTTAAGAGTGGGCGACACTTTATTTTAGAATTTTTATTGTTTAGAAACCAATACTGTATACTTATTTACACTTTAATTTCGACAGTCGGTACGCACAATATTTTAACTTAAATTTTTAAGGATTTCTATAGTAAAGACTGTTTTTTAGTTACTATCTTAGGTCTCGCTTCGACGCTGGATTTTTAAAAATGAGAATTTTCTTATGAAATAATGTTTGTTTTCTATTATAAAATACATGAAGTGAGATGATTCCTTTAAAACAATAATTATATTGGGCGAATAAAGCCAGACAGGTGTAGTTACGATTAAATTTTAGATACATTTTAAATGAAAACAAAAGTACAGCTGTCCCTTGATAATCCGACAGGTATGGGACCAAAGGGGTGTCGAATTATCAAAAGTGTCCGGATTACCGAAAGTGATTACATATTTGGCATCTTTTTGCTAGCAGTAACCTACAATATTCCCTACTCCAACTGTTCGAACAGAACTGCTCGCGCAAAACACACGAAATGTGTGTCGTCGTGTAAGAATTGGGTGGGGAGATTCACGTCGCAACATGCTTCTGTGCAAGCAGACACGTAACGGGGATGGGCACCTTGACGGGAGGTGCGTCGGACTACTGAGCGTGTCGGATTACAAAACGTCAGACATCGAGAGACAGCTGTAATTACCTATGCATTACAGAAGAACTTCCCAAAAACTTTATAAACAGTTTTTTATGAAGTGCATTATATTGAAAAAAATGTTTACATTTCTTGCCTAACACTCATATGGTTTTATGAATGCCAGTAAAAATTGCAGCTGTGAATGATGCAGTTGGGACCTTATTGGAGCTGTAGACTGTGAAAAAGAGTGAAAAGCAATGGATCCGAGATGCTCGTTAAATGCATTATAGATTTACTGGAATGTGCGGTGTTGTTACGATTATGCCCCGGAAGTAGTCGGTACAATGGAATTTCTTGTGTTTTATGAAGTTTTTGCTGTCTCCGGTAAAGTGGTAAATGATTGATTTTAGCATTGTTTTGAGAAATGGTTTCAGATGTTTTCCTTGTAACATTTTACTTCAATTTTGAGGTTTTTCAAAATTCCAGATAGGACAATCTAGGGGGACTATATCTTGCAAAGGGTCACATGTATACCGTTGGTTCCTTTGGATTTTTTACTTATATGGACATGGTTTACAGCTCTGATGAGGTTTCAATTGACTCATTTAGATCTGCAATTTTACCTGAATATACATATACATACATATATGCTCATCATTTATCAGATTTCTCCAGACACTCTGGATATATGAGAGTCTATGTATCTCTTTTCTCACATCTCGTGCTTGTAATCTTTGCTCGTTCAAATGCTCAACGACTTGCTCTACCCAGAATTACTTTGGTTGCTTCAGTTTTGTTTCCCTTCTTTATATTCTTTTCGGTGCTAGATCCTCATGTATGACATTCTCTTTCGTGCCATTTGCTTCTATGATATCATTCATAAGAAATAAGGATTTTTCATGAATGAAATCATTTACTAGAAAATCATTTGTGATACAGTAACTATGCAAAATCTTTAATCTGTGTTGGAAACACTTGTTAGCTGCTGTTTAATGTCTCTGGCTACAAACATAACATTGAAATACATAGGATAATAACATATGATAAACTGTATAATTTCTTATAGTGTACTGTTTTATTAAATATCTAACTGAAAAATTAATAATAAAAATATCTAACTGAAAAATCTTCATAACTATCACAAAGTTATTTTGGGATAGTTATGAAGATTTTTAGATGAATGCAAAAACTTGGATTGGATATATTAAGTGAAATATTAATGAAAAAATAAAAACTTCATTACAATATTACAGCATAAGGATACATCATTACAACACAATTTCATCACAATGTTACAAATTGGCAAATACAATCTGGCAATTAATACAAACTGACCATGGCTTTACAACTTACTCATATTAAACTTTGCTGTAATATTAAAATAAATTTTTTATTTTTTACTACCATTTCACATGCAGAATTTGATTACATGCTGGCTTTAAGATACATCAATTTTTTTGTAACAAAGTGTATTTAATTAATGATGTTAGTAATATCAATGGAATATGCTATATTACTTATAAAATCATGCTGTTTTAATATATTTTTTTGCAATCGATAGTAATTTAGCATAATGTGTTTGATTTAACGCATAGTCTTCCAAAATGAATGAGACCATTGTAATTATGCTAATTATTACTTGAGAATGCACTGTCCTTCATCTATCTACATTCACAAGTTTTGTTGTCTTGCTATCTCTAGGAAGTGCTGTAAATAAAAATCATGATATTGTAATATTCAGTTTGCAAATTTGGAATCACTCATCACATTGTGCAACATGAGTAATCTGCAGAAGCTGTAGAATTGTGGCTGCTGTGGGAAGAGTGAGAACAGATATGCTGTAATGAGCGTAAGAATTTGAGTATTGGTTGTATGTGTGCCATGTGACACAAGGTGCATGCATTGAGAAATTGTAATGGACTAATGTGAAAGTTGGACAGTTAATACATATTACAATGTTCTCAGATAATAATTAACATAATTACAATGATTTAAGTTGGCATCACTTTTTGGAAGACCCTGTATTTATTATATACTGTATAAATCATACTAGTGCATACCATGAAAGATATTACCAATTGAATATTATATATTCAGATAGTGCAGATTAATACATTATTAAGTTCAACTTAATTTCAATTTCAAAACGGCATAATCTAATATTTTTTTATAATCTTAATTCATTTTAGAAATATCTGGATCAGCTGACCCTGTGATATGCTGGGACAAAAATACTGTATTGATATTCTTTTATTGAATATGTAATTGGTGAGTGTAAGAATATATTTTTTACTATAATAATTTATAAAGTATTGGTGTTGTATGATATAAAGATGTTGCCATGTCAAAATACAACCAGTTACTAAAATAGTTTTTGTTATACTAACTTTCTTTAGTCCTAGATAAAGAAATTTTTCTTAGAATATATCATACATATTGCATGATTACTAGAATATAAGGTTGAAGAACTCTCATAAGAAGTGTGTTGAAAAAGTCTAGAGACAAACTTCTCCACCAGAGTGGCACTACCAGCAAGTCGGGTCATGTTAGTTACTGCTATAGCAAGTTTGTTAATATAGATATCATTTGATTTTGATGTAATAATGCCTTCTAAGTTGTGTGTTCCAGAGTGTAAAAGTGGCTATGCCTCTTGTAAAAGACACGCTATGTTTTCATTTTAGACAGATCTGGAAAAACAAAATGCATGGAGAAGGAATATACTAAGAGACTTCGAAATCACCAAGAACTCCTTTGTTTGGGTACAATTGCAGATGTGAATGAAGCTGTTGGGATTTTAACAGAACTGTAGATTTATGTCCATAAGAGCAAAAAATTGGAGTCACATACCTCTAAATGTGACTCCAAAATCAGTCGCATGCAATCATGAGTCGCACCATGCATTGTGTGCTCTGCTAAGACTGTTGCATTTAAGTACTTAGTCCATGCAACTATGCCAGCTTCAAGTAGCCCACATGACTGTTCATGGAGTACTTGATGTTATATAGTTTTAGGGAGTGTGGGTGCTTGCTCCCACCTGGGCACTGAGGTGCAAATGATAGTGAGCACCAAAGCACACAACTACATGCAAGGTTTCAGTCAAGGTGATTGATTGCTCATTCTGATGACAAGGAGCATAGAGAATAGGCATTAGTACTGGTTCAAGGTAAAAACTGTTTTTGGTCAGTAGAAATTAATCATTTATTATTTGTTATTGGCACTGATTGCAGTGCCTATAATATAACATTGTAAGGAACCAAGTCCGAGCATTGTTTTTAGTTATTTTTTATTTTGCTTTTTATTCTATTTTTGTATGGGGGCTTATGTTTTGTTAGGACGAAGTTCATCACACCTTAGAAACTTAAAACACCACTCACCACTCGCCTTAGAAACTTAAAACAGAAGAAAAAGAAAAACCAACTCACCAATGAGAAAAAGCGCCGTAGAAAAAAAAACTTGCATACACTTGCGCTCCCAAGCAGAAAACAGTAAGTCCACACCGAGAAGAGGGGGGAGACCCCACAAGCATAACTTAGGAATTTGTTAAACCTTAAAAAGTAAAATATCATCTCGAAATATTGTCAGAATGAATAATGTAAAAGGTTAGCAAGTATTGTCGGGAAATAGGCTGCCAGGCAAAAAGGAAAAGTTCAAAGTTCCAGATAAGTATGTAAATAAGGGGAGTGGACTCAGTCAGAATTGTGACATCACCTCACAATATAAATCCTGTACCTCAAGCGAAGATGACCGAGGTGAGCTTCTGTTAGCATCGAGCGAGGTGAGCTTCGTAGCAGCAAACGAAAGAGGTGTCCGATAGCGATAAAGTTGTTCCAAGGCATTTTTGAAGTTATTCGATTTGTGGATTGAAGATTGGAGAAAGTCTTGAGAGTTGAGGAAAAAGGTTCCTAGTATATTGAGGTGATGGTTAGGACCTTAGTTCATAAGACTTATTGTACATAGGTTTGTACATATATTTGTCGAATTCCAAAGGGAAATAGATTTAAGTTAGCAACTAGATTGATTTGAGTTTTGTCGAGTTGATTCTTATTGATTTTCATTGAATAAATTGTTATTTGATTGTTACTAAATTTTGTACATAGTTATTACTAAAATTATTATTAAATATTGGATTGTTTTTTTACCAACTTTGTCATTATTTCTTTCGGTGCATGCTTAAAGTCCAGGCCTGGCACATTAATTGCAAATCTGCGTAAAGTACCCGTTAGGTAACGGCTATTTCCGGCACACAGTTCATGTCGATAATCATTATAAAAGGCATAAAAATGATATAGTACTTTACAACATGCTTGCAAGCGCAATGTCTGCAAGCAAGATGGAGACTGGAACTGTCAACCATTGGGTTCCACATTTGGAGGTGAATATCTTGCAAAGGGTTGGGTGTTGGATTTTTCTTTATTCTTTACCAATAAATATCATTAGATTGTCTGATATTGCTGTACTGTTAGTTAAACATGCAATAGACTTAGCGAGTATGCAGCATGACTCCCTATAGTGCCTGAAAGTGGGCTTTAGGCTGATTTTGGAGGGCTATATCTCAAGAAGGATCACATCTAGAGGTATGATTCCTTTGACTTTTTTGCTCCTGTGGGCATGCTCTACATCTCTGTTAAGGTCCAAACAGCATCATTCACATCTGCAATCTTACCTTTGTTTCTGAGTTGTATTTTGATAATTGTTGCTTTATAAGGACATGTAATGTAATCATTAAGGGGTAAAACATATGGAGAAGCGTTTACAACCAACACTAAGACAGGATGTAATTCCTACTATTTTTCCCAGGAACAGAAGGAACCAAGAGAGAAAATTTTGCCAGGCTGACCATAACTAAAAGCCATGGAAGACTTCTTCATCCTTCCAAACAGCTACTGCCTTTACTACTGTTACATGAAAAACACATTTCTCAGTATGTGGAAGATAAGAAATTTGTTATTGTTAGAATATTTGATGATATTGTAACAGAAAGCAACTTGGTCTTAATCACTTTAGGATGTAAAGATCATTATTTACAATTAGTNTACATGGTAAACATAAGTTAACATTTGAGTCTTAATCTGATTCAATTTTTTTCCTAGTATTTTTTCAATTATTTAATTTTGAATTGCTAATCTTAAGAAGGTAGCATGATCACTAATCCCTGCATAAATGTAATCTGAAATTTCAACAGTTTAAATTTACAATAAAAATATTGCAAATTTAAACTGCTGGTATTTTAGATTACATTTATGATTTATGCAAATGTTTAATTAAATCTGATGTGTAGATCAGTGATTTTGCTGCTTTGTTTTGTTAAGATTAATGATTAGAAATTAATTTAATAATATATATTAAAATTTAAATTTTTTGTATGTCTAACAATTAAGTAGAGGCCAGTTTCCCATAAAAGTCCTTCTGTGAGGCACCTTCTCCTTGGCAAATCACCCATGTATTGTATTGCTTTATATCATCAATCCAATCTATATTCTAAGAATATTTAAATTATTTAATTTATATTTTAATTTAGATTTTATGGAATGAAAAATAAAATATGGATGAAAGTCAAGCAGGAAATATTCAAGCAATAGATAAAGACAGTGTTCATAATATTTGCTCTGGTCAAGTTATTTTAACTCTTTCTTCAGCAGTTAAAGAGTTAATAGAAAACAGTTTAGATGCTGGAGCTACTAATATTGGTAAAGCAATTTACTTTATATTTTAAACTGTAAATAACAAATAAATTTATTAGTAAATTTGTTTAGAGGTTCGTACAAAAGAATATGGAAGTGAATTAATAGAAGTTATTGATAATGGATCTGGTGTAAAGGAAAAGAATTTCAAAGAATTAAGTATGATATATTTAATGAAATGCTATCTTTATTTGTAAATATTTGTTTACTTACTAATTTTGTTTTCTTTTGATCAGCTTTGAAACATTATACATCAAAAATAAAAGATTTTCACGATATTTCAAGTTTAAGAACATTTGGTTTTCGTGGTGAAGCATTAAGTTCCCTTTGTGCATTGAGGTATATTAATAATTGCTAATATTTTATATACAGGGTCTTCTGAAATGAATGCTATCATTTTAAATTACTATAATTATGTTAATTGTTACCTGAGAAGTATGTGATGTATAATACACCAATCAATAAATACTTCATCTTTCATGTGCATTCAAATGTCTTTTTCTCTACTGTTTCTAGGAAATGCCATAAACCAAAAATGGTAACTTTGCAACAGAGAAGGCATTTTGTGTTCCACAGTTTGCAAAATTAGAATTACTTATTGGGCAACATGAGTTTTGCAGACAATTTCAAAATGATCTATCAGGTAAGACAAACGTTCTTCAGTGATATCAACAGTTCCAGAAGAACACAAAATGATTCAAAGTTTTTGAATCTGCAGAACACAAATTGCCTTCTCTTTTACAGAGTTGCCATTTTTGTTTGTGGTGCTTCCTAGAGATAGTAGACAACAAGGTGTTTGGTGTTTGATTGCAGTTGGGAGATGAAACTCAGACAGTTACAGTATTGATTGGTGTATATCACATCTCAGGTAATGGAGCATTAGCAAACGTCTTCTATATGGCTTATAGAATTGAGCTCATTCTCAAAATTTGATCATTCAATTTTGATTAAACTGTCATTTTACAGAATATGAGACAAGGAGAATAAAATCGGGTTTATGATTTTGATTTCAAGATACAAGATGACAATATATCAATAGTTGGATAATATTGGATACATAGTAAAGTCCTTGTAAACCTATGAAACTGATGAACACAGATAACTACAGTTATGAACAGGATGTATAGTTACAGTAAAGTGACTATGTGCTACCATAGTGTGCCCCTTGCAGCACTCCTAGCAGTAAAACTTTGAAATTAGCACGCTCCTTCTCAAAAATGATAACAATATGGAAAAAAGTCAATTACAAAGTTGTAGAATATGATAAATACAACTGCTGTATGAGATTGGGCTAAATAATGACTATAAATAAATTACAAATAAATTTAACCCTAAAGGGAGGCAATAAGCACCATCTCCTATTAAATTTAATAATTATAATTTAATTAAATAATTTTAGATTTAAACTGGAAGAAAAGAATTGGTCCAGAGCGGGTCTCAAACCCACAACTGCAGCTTATTGTGCGGATGCATTGCCAGTTACACTACCCAGACCTTCAGTCCAATATCCTCTTCCAATATATTTAACATTATGATATAACCATTGCTGGTTATTTCAATGCCAACTGGGAATGCATTCAGCACCCTCGTCCTGTAAACTCTCACATAAGGCACTCAGCCTGACAAGGCATATATATATATATACACAAATATAAACATCTTTCTTTACTAAACTCGATACATTACAATAAATCTACAACTGCCATATGAAATTATTATAGCCATTATTTAGCCCATTCTCATATGGCAGCTGTAGTAGATTTATTGTAACATATTGGGTTTAGTAAAGATGTTTATATTTGTAGAATATGACTAATTTAGTACAAATGGACATCTTGTGTATATGAATAGCATGAATAGAAAGTGTGAAATGCTAATCGGTTGGTATTTGATTCCCATCAATGCTATATCACAAAACATGGGAAGTGAAACTGTACGTTAGATGTAGACATGGCACATTATTCCAACAAGCAATAAGAAGTTGTTTTGAATACAAATTTGTATTTTATATTCTGTCCATATTTCTCACAATTTGCTGCTTTGTGATGCAATTAATGATATGGTATTGACAGAATCAAATACTGACAAATTAGCATTTTATATTATGTATACAAGGTATTGTTATATAGTAAAGTGGTCATGCTTTACAACTCTCTAATTAACATTTTTATATCATACATCACTTTTGAGATAAGAGTGCTAACTTCTGAATTTCACCATTAGGGGCATTGCAAATAGTCTCATCTTGTAGTGCATGGTCACTTTACTATAACTTCACATTATATTTGTAACTGTAGCTATCTGCATTCGTCAGTTATGTAGGTGTATAAAGACTTTATTATGCATCCTATACAGATTAATTTATTTAGATATTATAATTTATGAATAATAATAATGAATAATTTGATATAATTGAATTATACCGATTCTACTATATCAAATTCTACTTACATCTACTTTTTGAAGTTTGGAATATGAAAATGTTTCTTATTAATTTCAAATCTTTTAGTCTATCTTCAAAGAATTCATTTATATTCAGATATTTTAAATTTAAATTTTTTATTTCTTTATCCCTTGCTTTGTGTATTACATCATGCATTAGAATGTGTAGAAATGAAGATGATAATCTAAATGCATGAAGCATGAAATTGATATATATAAAAATATAAAAAATGAATATGTTTGAATTTAAAATATTTGAAAGTAAATGAATTATCTGAAGAAAAGTAAAGGGAGGATATGAAAGTACTAACAAAAAAAATTTGTAATAGTGAGAAAAATCTAAAAATCAGAAAAAATTTTTGTGATTCATAGAATGAAGCTTTTCTTTGATGTAAATTTTTATTATAATTGCAGCAATATAACAATAACAACGCGTTCTAAAACGGTAACTGTCGGGACTCGATTAGAATATGATCACAGTGGCTTATTAATAAAACAGTCACCAGTACCAAGACAAGTATTTTTGTTTTTTATTTCCATTATTTCATATAAATATTACTCTTTTTCTTAAAAAATATATTTTACTTTTAAAAATGTGTGACAGGTTGGTACAACAGTAAGTGTGCAACATCTATTTGCTACTTTGCCTGTAAGACATAAAGAATTTATGAATAATTTACGGCGAGAATTTAATAAAATGATACAGTTAATAACAGCATATTGTCTAATTTGTACCAATGTTAGATTATCTTGCATTAATCATTTGTTAAATGGGTATGTATGTCTTCATATTATTACTATTAAATGCATTTTATTTAATTTATATTTTAATTTAGATTTTATGGAATGAAAAATAAAATATGGATGAAAGTCAAGCAGGAAATATTCAAGCAATAGATAAAGACAGTGTTCATAATATTTGCTCTGGTCAAGTTATTTTAACTCTTTCTTCAGCAGTTAAAGAGTTAATAGAAAACAGTTTAGATGCTGGAGCTACTAATATTGGTAAAGCAATTTACTTTATATTTTAAACTGTAAATAACAAATAAATTTATTAGTAAATTTGTTTAGAGGTTCGTACAAAAGAATATGGAAGTGAATTAATAGAAGTTATTGATAATGGATCTGGTGTAAAGGAAAAGAATTTCAAAGAATTAAGTATGATATATTTAATGAAATGCTATCTTTATTTGTAAATATTTGTTTACTTACTAATTTTGTTTTCTTTTGATCAGCTTTGAAACATTATACATCAAAAATAAAAGATTTTCACGATATTTCAAGTTTAAGAACATTTGGTTTTCGTGGTGAAGCATTAAGTTCCCTTTGTGCATTGAGGTATATTAATAATTGCTAATATTTTATATACAGGGTCTTCTGAAATGAATGCTATCATTTTAAATTACTATAATTATGTTAATTGTTACCTGAGAAGTATGTGATGTATAATACACCAATCAATAAATACTTCATCTTTCATGTGCATTCAAATGTCTTTTTCTCTACTGTTTCTAGGAAATGCCATAAACCAAAAATGGTAACTTTGCAACAGAGAAGGCATTTTGTGTTCCACAGTTTGCAAAATTAGAATTACTTATTGGGCAACATGAGTTTTGCAGACAATTTCAAAATGATCTATCAGGTAAGACAAACGTTCTTCAGTGATATCAACAGTTCCAGAAGAACACAAAATGATTCAAAGTTTTTGAATCTGCAGAACACAAATTGCCTTCTCTTTTACAGAGTTGCCATTTTTGTTTGTGGTGCTTCCTAGAGATAGTAGACAACAAGGTGTTTGGTGTTTGATTGCAGTTGGGAGATGAAACTCAGACAGTTACAGTATTGATTGGTGTATATCACATCTCAGGTAATGGAGCATTAGCAAACGTCTTCTATATGGCTTATAGAATTGAGCTCATTCTCAAAATTTGATCATTCAATTTTGATTAAACTGTCATTTTACAGAATATGAGACAAGGAGAATAAAATCGGGTTTATGATTTTGATTTCAAGATACAAGATGACAATATATCAATAGTTGGATAATATTGGATACATAGTAAAGTCCTTGTAAACCTATGAAACTGATGAACACAGATAACTACAGTTATGAACAGGATGTATAGTTACAGTAAAGTGACTATGTGCTACCATAGTGTGCCCCTTGCAGCACTCCTAGCAGTAAAACTTTGAAATTAGCACGCTCCTTCTCAAAAATGATAACAATATGGAAAAAAGTCAATTACAAAGTTGTAGAATATGATAAATACAACTGCTGTATGAGATTGGGCTAAATAATGACTATAAATAAATTACAAATAAATTTAACCCTAAAGGGAGGCAATAAGCACCATCTCCTATTAAATTTAATAATTAT